AATTAATCGTTACTGTGCTGTTAAGCAAGCCAATTGTTTTCCTGCATGCAAAAGTACAAGCACGAGGGAGCAAGGAGTGTATTCCCTGGTTCCTGACGTAGCTGGCTAAAGAAGCAAGCCCAGATGCTGAGTTGTGTTTTACTAAAACAGAAGAATAAAACACATAAAAAAACCACACAGCCAACTCAACAAACCCCAGCAGTGACTACTTCCCTGTTTCAGAAAATGCACCAGGCATCTTTGATATACCGGTAATATTTTAATGCCACTTCCAATGTCTACAGCCATTCGCTTAAACGTCGGCACTGTTAGCCAGACCAGTCATGAAGAATGAAGTGAAAGTGCAGAACAGAATCCGTGTTTTGGATTTCAACTGTGCAGTGAAGAAATCAGAGGCAGGAGCGCAGAAACCAGCCTTTCCCTTCAGTCAGGGTGCCCACACTTGTTCCTTTGAAGGTATCTTCAAAGGATCACGACTGTTCATAACACACAGGCAAGAATCAGGCACACGAGTTGCTTGAGCAGTTGAGGCTGCACAGCTACCTGGTTAGAGCCAATTTTTTTTTCCATATTAATACACCAACCATTTAAGGTAACCACAGAATAATGACTTGTATCAGACCGAACAGTAATCAAACACGTTTAAGGTGCATGACACAACTAATGTCACTTACAAGAGCAGAGCAGAATTAACTTGTAGGGGTTTTACAGGAACGGCATACACAGGCTATTCAGTTTTAAACATTTATTTTTCCACTTGAGGATTTACAGTAAGTTATGTTGACATTTTTTTCCTAAAAATATATTACATTTACTTGAAAACATGACGGTGATAAAAACAGTTACATACATTATCTGTTTTAAGCATTCAGATTCGTGTGAACTTGCAAATAAAAAGTAAGTCAATTATTAGTAACAATGCATCTTCACTATAGAATCAGAGAATCATAGAATGTGTTGGGCTGAAAGGGACCTTTAAAGGTCACTTTGTCCAATCCCCCTGCAGTGAGCAGGGACATCCTTAACTACATCAGGTTATTCAGAGTCCCATCAAGCCTGACCTTGAATGTTTCCAGGGATGAAGCCTCTGCCACCTCTCTGTGAGAGCAGTATTTCTCCTACTTCAAATTAATTTTTACTTTTTGTGACCAACTGTAGGCAGTTCTGCTGAACTGCACTTATCTTGGTAAGAGAAGCTGGAACACCCACTCCACAAATTATTTATCAGGATCACTCTACTACTAGAAACCTGAGAATGAGTCTAGTTCAGTACTAGGACTCACCTGGCTTTGAGATGACTCATTGAATGCTTCTTCAGCATGGAACTGTTTGAAAATTTTTGTTGCTCTCATTACAGCACCCTTCACCTTAAATCTAAGCAGCGCTGCATTTTCTTCTTCCATAAATTTGATCACCTGTTTGGATGCCATATTTAACAGAGAGAGGTATTTTCTTCCATCAACACTACTTGAGCATTAAAAAAAAGGCAGGTACCTCTGTTCCTGCCTACAAAAAGATGGTACCGGCAGTTTTGATGACATCGAGCTTGTTGGCCCACGCCTGCTCTCTGATTTCTGTACAGTTGGTGTCCAGGTAATGCGACTTCAGCCTATAATTACCTTTAGATTAGGTCTACGATTACGTTTGGAAAAGCCATAGGGCCTTAGGTACCATCATGGGTCCAAGCAGCACATCAGGTCATTTGCTGTATGACTGAATTCCCACAAGAGCGGGAATTCTGCAGTGCAAATCATTAATTCTGCTATAAACTGGAAACAGATGAATTAATGGGTTCAAAGTGCTGGTTCACATACCCCTGCACAATCTCCAGGCAGTACAACATGTTCAGCCGCTCAGTTCCCTAGAGTATACTACACTACATCCACAGAAGTGATGCAAAAGAAAACTACATGACAGATATGCTGCAGCCCAGTAAAGAAAGAAAGAACGGAGAAAAAAGGTGACATATTTTATGGAGGCATGAAGAAATTAAGCAGAAAATCAGACTGACAGTACAGTAATTTAGGCATTTTCACTGGAAAAAAGGTAAGTGTTGCCTTAAGAAACACTGAAATTAAGAAAGCTCCAAAACTGTCTTAAGTGGAATATTGAATTATTATTATTTTTTAATTAACCACACACACACAAGCACAAAAACCTTAGTGTGATCAGTCTTGCAACTCTGAGATTTGTTATTTCCAGTTGGAAATACATCCCTAGCATTACCGCTTCGCATCGAACGATGCCCCGCTTACCAGGAGAACGCCCATTCACTGAATGGATACAACAGGGGAGTGACAGATGCTTTAGTGCCTCGCTCATTTCACAAATGCCCATTTCACTCCGGCATTATTAACAATTACTGAAGTTTCCTGCTAGTGGTAGCATTATCAGCTGAAAACAAAAGAATTTTGGAAAGGGCATTTTTATTTCCAGCTCTGTACCTGGAGCTTTTGGTAACTACAGCACCCGAGGTTTTAATGAGAACATCGTGAGTGAAGAACAGGGTGACGCGTGTAACGAACTACTCACCAGGGACAACACGAGTACTAAATGTCGAGGCGTGTCTCATCCAAAAAAGCAACTCCCACTGAAAAGTCATGTGAACACCTAAGGATTCCTGTGACTTGCAAGTCATCTGGTTTATATCTGCACACTAACCCCAGCAGGATGAAAAATCAAGAGTTTTCAGGCGGCGTACATGCAGAACGCTTTCCAGAAAAACCCTAATTTGGACAGGCTCCACCTCGGTCATAACGGAGAACAAGCACTGCAAAGTCACAACGAAGAGCGAGCCACTTCAGATTTAAGATGGGAATGAAATGAAAACTCAGTTACTCAACGCTGCAAATATATATTCCTACATTAAAGTATGTGTACCAGATTTCAACATATCCTAGATTTAGCAAGTCTGTCAAGTCTCCACCTATGAAAATTTCTACTGAGTTTTCAGTCCTTGAAACACTTGTTTATAATGATAGACCTTCAATACAAATGCACAATGTCTACAAGTATAACATGTAATAGTACAAATGGTCATTATACATAATAAACTTATTTTTCAGTACTATGTACAAAGTCAAACAAGGCAAAAAAAGATGCTTCAGACACTTGGTGGTTTTGCTTCTTTTGAATAAAAAAATGTGACACTCGCAGACAGACAATGAAACGTAAAAACTTCCATAATAAAAACAGTTGTGGAAATTCTTCACACGTCCACTCTATCCTACATCATGATGCCGTAAGGTGGCCCGAGGACATACAATCATTAATGTCTTATCCCACGTACCTGACTTCTTACATTGCGAAGACAGACAGTACCAGACTCCATTTATACATAAGCACAGTGATTAAATGCACTTGTTAAAAAATAAAGGCCTTTACCCAAGAGAAAAAAACAGAAGAAACATGACAGCAAAGAACACACAAAGTTTTGCAGCGACAGCGAAGGGGATCGAGCGCCTTAAAGGCCACCCTCTTGCCAGCAGACAGGAGATGCTCCAACAGCTCATCAAAGAAACAACAGTGCTTGGTAGAAAGTCGATTATAGTAAATGCAAAATACAGAGTTCAGAGATCGCTAGTGTTTGTGCATAACTTGCCACCCACTTCCCTCCCTGCAGACACTGGGAAGGGAAAAGAGTACATTTCAGTTTTCATACTCATTGACTTTGAAACAAAGTCAAGCTTCCTACATGAATTCACACAGTGAAAAGTCCTTCCTCCAAAAATATATAGACGGGATCACTCAACTCATTTTCACTCTCGTACACCATTTAAAAAAACTATTAAAACTCTGATTTTTTTCAAGCAGCATATTGTGCATTTGTCACTGGCAGGTTTGTTGTAGAAATCCTAGAAAGTTAAAGTTATATCATACCATACAAAAACATGTAAACAAAATGGATATTTTTTTAAAGGCATGCATGCTCTTGAAGAGGATTAAAAAGTATTTATTTTTGGTAAATAAAAGCTATCTTGCTTAGCATTTTTAAAAGCACCTTAGTGATTTAGGAGCCTAAGTCCAAATAACTTGAATTTAGATTTGGGCTCCTAAACATCTACATCAATTCTGTAAAATTACTTAAGCACTTGAAAAAATTTTGCTGTGTCTCTCCTCTCGCAGGATTAGGTTCTCTGTAGCCAGCGGTTAACTTACTACCTCTGACAACATTCAAGAATATCTCATTCGTGTAGCTCAGTTGCCAGTTGCATTTTTCTGGATCCTCCGTAACTAAATTTACAGTAACTACAAGAAAATTTGCCAATGAAGACTAATATTTTGTGATACCTCTTTGCAAGTTCCTTTTTCACAGACAACACGGGATGCGACAATCAAATTTGAACAGGAATAGGATCATATGTTCCTTCTGAACAGCTATTAGTGTCTACAAGCGTGTTACTTGTTCAACCTGTTAATACTGAGAAAAACAAACTTAGAAAAACATCTGTAGCGCAGCATTAGGTAAAAAGGAGCATTTTTGGCACCATACATTTTTAAAACTAAGCTTTTAGACCCAAAGTATAGCAAGTGAAACGTACACAGGGGCAGCTAGGAAAGTCTCATCTGAAATGCAACATTTTTAAATTGGGGTTTGGAAGATGCTATTTTATGATCATTAGGTGATCTCCAAGTAACTTACACACTGGAATTTAGCCTAAATACTCATACCAAATGTATACATATATACCTTAGCACTCATATGTATATAACACAAGTATATTGCACCAACAGAACTGCCAGAATCCATATTAATATAGTCAGGCATAAAATTTAACATCTTCTTTTTGCTCTTCGTTTCTCTTCTTAGTGTCCTGACTAACCAATTCTAACATTTTCTTTGAAAATTAGTTGCAAGGTTGCTCTTTTACCTTGGGTCATGACGTTATGGTCTGTACCTATTCTTGTAAGAATTATCCTTACTTTAAGCGTGCTCTGCAATTCAGCAATACCTAGTTGATAGCTCGGAAAAGAATTCCTCGAAAAAGTTGAAGCTGGTTTAATTTTTACAAGGCGCACGGGGCAGCCACGGTTCTGTGTTTTGCCACCAGGTGTCTCACCCCGCACACCAAAACCCGCTGCAGCGGCAAGTTTTACATAAATCCACCCTCGGTCAAGCATCCCATAGGCACGAGATTTGCTAAAGCGCTGGTAAAAATACCTCTCTACAGCTGGCTTTATTCTGTATTCAGTTGCACGACTTCATCCAACTCACTGGGTTGCTGGGGTTTTTTTCTGACTCCAAATGCAGTCTAAGGTATGCTGCAGCTGCTAAAAAGATTTCTGTTTTTCTTGGTCCTCTGTTTGTTTGGTCTAAGGTTGATGACATCTCCACCATTCAGAGCGCTAGAGTTTTGGTTGGAGTGACTTCCGCCAGCTGTATTAAAAACACCTACAGAATTGAAACACAAGAGAATATTTGTCTTTATTCTTTCAGCATGACACACACTTAAGACACAACACTTACTAAGGCACAGAATCACAGAAACATTCAGGTTGGAAAAGACCCTTGGGATCATCAAGTCCAACCTATAACCCTCCACCACAGAATCCACACCTAAACCATATCCCCCAACACCACATTTAAATGACCTTTAAACACCTCCAGGGAAGGTGACTCAACCACCTCCCTGGGCAGCATGTTCCAGTGCCTTACTACTGTTTCTCTGACAAATTTTTTCCTAACATCCAGCCTACATCTAGCTTGTTGCAATTTGAAGCCATTCCCTCTTGTTCTGTCTCTAATTACCTGTGAGAAAAGACCAGCACCAACCTCTCTACAATGTCCTTTCAGGTAGTTGTAGAGAGTGATGAGGTCTCCCCTCAGCCTCCTCTTCGTCAACCTAAACAGCCTCAGCTCCTTAAATTGTTCTTCATAAGATTTATTCTCCAGGCCCTTCACCAGCTTTGTTGCCCTCCTCTGCACTCGCTCCAGCACCTCGTTATCTCTCCTATACTGAGGTGCCCAAAACTGGACACAACACTCAAGGTGTAGCCTCACCAGTGCCAAAAACAGGGAGACAATCCCTTTCCTACTCCTGCTGGTCACACTGTTTCTAATAGAAGCCAGGATGTCGTTGGCCTTCTTGGCCACCTGGGCACACTGCTGGCTCATATTCAGCTGCTTGTCTGTTTATGGCATGACAGCGCACCTCAAATGCGTACTCTAGATTTTAAAGGCTTTATGTATTTCTGCATCAGTTTTGCAGCTAAATTTGAAGTACAGCCAGCTGGAAGTACTAGCCAGGCAGTATTTAAAGCTGGTACACATCTATGTAATTGAAGGACTGCATATGTTACTCATCTGCAAATACATATGCTAATTGCACGCTAACAAAAGTTACGGCTAGTTGAGTAACAAAAGCAAAACACAATTATAAAGTCAGAAACTTTGCTGAGATAGAAGTAAGGAAAAAGCCCAGATAAAAAGCATAGGAAAATAAACGAACTGACTCAGAAACGCTTTAAGAAACAACTTCAGAAGTTCAGTGTTCCCTTACAAAAGGCAGTTTACAAAGACCTTCTGATTACATGCCAGATTCCTTCACCATGAGTCTCCTGTAAATCTGCACCAAGATGAGTAACACCAATACTAATTATATTAAAAAAAACCAGCAAGCATCCCTCCTCAAGTCTTGCACAACATTTGTTTAAATGAATTTAATAAAAAGGCACTTGCCAAGCATTAGCTAGAAACTCTGGTACATCGCTTTGACAGTCTTGTAACTTTAGAGAGTCACAAAGCTATTTTACAGGAGGAGGCAATATCCTAAGATAGGAAGGTAGTAATTAGACCCTGATTCACCCTCCATAAGAAAACAGATGAGACCATAAGATTTGATGGCACAAGATACTGTTTCTGTTTTGGGTTTTTTTTTTAATTTTTATTACAGTATACGTACCAATCTTGTTACTGCTTGTGTGCACTAGTTCTGGATCTTCAGCTGTTTGTTGCTTGAGCCTTTGAAGATATTTATCAGCCAAATACTTAAAAACTGCAACATTAAAATGAAAAGGTACATTAGAATATATTTCAAAATAATCTTCGTATCGCTAAGAATACCATCGTTATCAAAATTCTGCATGGTGATAAAAGGGCACCCGACACCCCAGGTTTAGCACAACCCAGGAAGGGATTCTGTCTCAGCAGCAGAATCCGGATCAGTCCAGAGCCCGCCCAGGTCTCAGAGCCTGCGCTACCGAAGTCTCACAGAGCAGACAGACACATCTCAATACTCCTCTAACAAAGCAGGCACACACGTACAGCCACGTGTTCCAATACACACAACATGCTCACTTTTATAAAGTTCTGTAGGTATCAACTAGGTATATTTTTGGCAAGAAGCCTTAGAATAACAGCAGTCATGTAAAGTAAGCCTATTAATGAAAGCTGGCAGCAACAATTTTCTAACTAACTTATATGCTACTCTTGTTTGTATTGGGGTATAAAAAGTCTACCTTGGATTCTGAAAAAATATACAACAATAGGAGGATTTTCAGAACCTGTATGCATTATGATTATTTACATTTTTAATTAGTAACTCATGTAAAGATAAAAAAGTTTTGTATTTTCTCTCGTAGATTTTTTTTCTAAGGTGGATCACATTAACAGAGAAGAAACACCTAGTTTACTATTAAGTTTGCCTGATTAAACAACAAAAATGTTAGCACAGACTGTAATTCATGATTATTCAAACCTAGCTCACAAAAGATAGTGACTGAATTTTGTAACAGTACTCTTAAGAAATTAAATATTTATGTTAAGAAGTGATACTTGGCAACCAGTAAGATACCACCAGTAGACAAAAGGCATCCGGAGATACAATCTTTTAATGTACTTTATTTAAATATAACTAAACTCTGAAATAACCCTTTGTATCAATTATTTAACTAATAACAATTACAAAGTAATCTGTCAACCACTTGTATATTGTAATAATTGAACTTCTACATAAACCTTTTTTTAAAAGCTCAGTGCTTACTGACAGTCGCTTGGTACGAAGAGCTTTAATACACTGGCACTTCTAAAATCTGAAGCAGAAGAGAAAGGGAAGGTGTACACCCACAAACACTGGTATCAGGTAATTCTAGCTGTGTTCAAGGTGTGCCCCTAAGAAATCACAGAATCATAGAATGTTAACGGTTGGAAGGGATCTTTAGAGATCATCCAGTCCAACCCCCCTGTCAGGGCAGGATTACCTCCAGGGCAGGATTCCCTGGGGCAGCCACACAGGAACGTATCCAGGTGGGTTTTGAAAGTCTCCAGAGAAGGAGACTCCACAACCTCTCTGGGCAGCCTGTGCCAGTGCTCTGTCACCCTCACAGTAAAGAAGTTTCTCTTCATGTTGAGGTGGAAATTCCTATGTTCTAACTTAAACCCATTATTTCTTGTTCTATTGCTGGGCACCACTGAGAAGAGACTGTCTCCTTTCTCTTAACACCCATCCCTCAGATATTTATAAATGTTAATAAGATCCCCTCTCAGCCTTCTCTTCTCAAGACTAAACAGCCCCGGTTCTCTCAGTCTCTCTTCATAGGAGAGATGTTCAAGTCTGTTAATCATCCTCGTAGCTCTCTGTTGGACTCTCTCCAGTAGGTCCCTGTCTCTCTTCCATTGGGGAGCCCAAAACTGAATACAGTATTCCAGGTGTGGTCTCACCAGGGCAGAGTAGAGGGGGAGGAGAACCTCCCTAGACCTGCTGGACACATTTTCTTGATGCACCCCAGGAACCCAAGGGCATGCAGCACCGTGGGAATTAACGAAATCAGCTCCAAACCAGAGAAGTGCCCAGTGCTACAGAGCAGAGGGCAGGACAGACACCTTGTCTGCTCTTATCTCATACCTTCAGTTACATTTAGGTCTTCCTTCACAGATGCTCGGTAGAACCTTAATTTCAGCTTTTTTGCCAGTGCTTCTGCCTCTTCGCTGCACAAAAAGAGGACGACTTAGTAAATGCTCATTTGTATTATTTGTCAGCATTTATTCTTACAGACAAAATGCTTTGTGGCAAGTTAAACACAGCAAGGTGAATCAAGACTCAGCCCAAAACCACCTGGTCCTCAGTATCTTTACAGTATCTCCACTATAAAAAGAAGGTATTTTACACGTAATTTCTTTACGACCAAAAGTAATTGCTTTTCAGTATTTATTGAATTCATTAACTAAAATTTCCCAAGGGTTCAAAGACAGGTGTCAGTGAAACCAAAAGGAAGGAGGCTGCAATTAAAAGCACCAGGATCAGAACAATTACCACTGCAAAGTCACGACAACAAAAAAGTAATCCTGAAGTATATTTTAATGAAGCAGTAGACTATGCAATCAGATGAGTGCAGAGGTGAAATCAAGATTTACTTTTTTCTGTGAAGTGAAAGAGAATTTTAAGGGAAAGCTGAAGAAACTTATGAAATTTCACCAAGGGAAATCACGTCATCAGAAAGGTGACATTACTGATGCAGGTGGAGTATTCTGAGAAAAAAACAACAACACCTAAGTGACATACCATGAATAAAGGAGGAGTTCAAATGCAATTTTGCTTTTCCTTTGAAAAATCCTCAGTATTCTTTGCAGAGGGAGTAGAAGCTGATTTATGCCATCAGTGATAGCAAACAGAGAACAAAGCAAGCCAATGCAGGAAACAACAAAAAGAAGAAATAATTTAAATCTCTCGGGAAGATGGTGGAAATAAAGAAGTGGAGAATGATCAACTCCATCATGCAGCATTTTCTACCTGATATGCTGTGGTAAATAAAAGTTAGCATTTGTTAAGCTGATTTTGTGGCAAGAATGAAAGCGGTCATAGATACAAAGGCAGAATGAACGGACAGTAAAATCTGTAAAGAAAAATATAAAGCGAAGAAGGATCAGCATCATGCAGTTTGAGAGTATTACCAGATACGACTTTCTATTGTAACGATTTGATAAAAGTGAGCAATAAAAATAAAGGAAAGCAAAGCAAAGAATATTAAGATACTTTCTCAAACAACTTGATTAATGCTTCTGCATCATTTTAGCAAACATTCACTAGCCAAACTAGACAATGCTACTTCAGTGGCACAGAGCACAGTTTAACTGTAATTTTTAACAGAAGAGAAAACTTAGAGTTTTAGAATTTCTAATTAAAAAAAAAAATAAAAAAGAGATTATCCTATCATGGCACAATCAAACTCTTCATGTTATTCTTCTATTTTTATTTTTTTGGGCTGATACTTCAGAAGGCGGCAGGCAGCAAACACAAAGCTCCCAGCTGTGCAAGCACATCTGCCCATGCAGCAATACCTGTGCTTCTGTGGCACGTTTTGATGCAGGACACAGATTTGACAACCTAGACATCCTACGTCTTCCCTAAAAACTCCCTTTTTTTTTTTTAATGTGTGTATACAGGGGGGGAAATGTTGTTCTTTAAAAACAGTAAGATGAAACTCCTACTTCTTTATGCAAGAGTCATCCAGAAGATCAATCTTATTCTGCACAAGAACTGTGGGAATGTCTCCAACTTCGGTCACAACCTTTTCCTTCCAGGTAGGGATTGCTTTGAAGGACTCTCTGTCAGTTGTCGAAAACACAAGAACACAAGCCTGAGCTCCTAAAAAGATACAAATCAATTACAAAGACAAATAAATACAAATCAACCAATAGACATTAAAAAAAAAAAAAGAATCATCATCTAGAATGTATTTCAAATGAGGGATTTTTGAGGTTTCTCCCATGAAAGTACACTTTTATCAGCAGCTTGCATCATACCAGTCGTCATAAATTCCCCAAATTAAAACAATTTGCCATATTATTCTGATCATTATACCCATTCTTCATGATGGCTACAGGTCTGCTACTTTCAAGCCATTTTCAGTGTGCAAGGGAAAGGAATAGGAAGGGGTGTGGAAAGGCTGGAAAAAGGGAAGGGGAGGTTTGCTTGTTGCTCACTGCTTTCCAGATAGCTTCAGGGAGGCCAGGAGGCAAATATTTAACTCTGTGCAGTATCTGTAAAGCACAGTTCACGTTATTCTTTCTCCTACAGTAATCTGGACTTTGAAAAATAGAAAACTTCTAGTTAAAACCCCTGGATGCTGATAAGGTACTTCTACTCTTGAACTTTTAGTGAGTGTTTTTTTGACTACCCAGTAGCCCTATTATTTGCTCTACTAGAGATCAGAATATTTATTAAAAAGCTCTCACCACCTATAAACCTAATTTCATTCAGTTTTAAGGCTAAGAAATCCATTGTGAAGTTTCCACTCTAAGGCACTTCCACTTCATCTCTCTCCGTCCACTCAAGAAACTACTTTTCTTTGCACAAAAACAGATGGAGAAACATTTTATATGGCTTTCATATATTTGATATTTAATAATAGAGTATGAAAGGAATAGAAAGCTAATGTCTTTGAGACACCAGTGTTAACCCTGTGGCGAAAATCCCAATCTAACAACATATAGCATGAAAAATTATTTCATCAGTACAAATTTTCTTTTACCATCTGTCCTGGGTTTGAGCTAAAACCCAG